GGCAAGCTCAGTGTCGGCTGCCTGGTCAGCCTCCAGGGCTGAGCACACCCCCCCAAGTCCCACAGACCGAGGCTGCTGATCGGCAGCTCTGCGCCCATGGGCGGGAGGCGTGTGGAGGGCCCACCCGCGAGCTCCGCCCTCGGGCAGGATTCTCCAGCCTGGATGTCCAGGTGAGCCTCCAGGACCTGGCAGCCCTGCTTGGGAAGCCTGTGCCGCTGTCACGCAAGAATGGAAGTTCACCCGCCAGAACTTACCAGGGGCTTCAGTAGAGTCTGTGCAGCTAATTGTCGTTCTTAAACTTGCCGTTGATGTAGGGCACCCAGTCCAGAATCAGCCGCCAGTCGGTGGCCCACACCAGCCCCACGGTGCCCACAGCACCCCACATGCTCACGGTGGGAACCCTGCCGGAGGAGAGGGGTCAGGCCCTGTTGGGACTCACCCGCCCAGCGGCACATCTGCCTCCCCATCCGGGCTACCATTCACCAAGCACGGGCCCCTGATGACAACCCTGCAGGCCCAGGAGGTAATGCAGGGGGACACAAGGCAGAGGACCCCAGGTTGCCTCAGGCAAGGCCCCCACCTTTGCCTATGTCTAAGGGACTCTGCTCCCATCTGCTTTCATACTGAGATCTGCTTAAGGTTTTATTTGAAGAATTCTGCTTTAAAAAACAAAACACAAACGTCTACACAGTTTGACAATGAGTTGATCTTTGTAGCAGCTGCAGAACTGAGGGCAACGCAGGCATCAGGGTCCCAGTTTACAGATGAGGCACAGAGAGGGCAAATCACTCCCCAAGGACAAACAGCTGGTGGGGACTGGAGCTGAGGCTTGGCCCACATCTAGGTCTTCTGATGGGCAGAGTCCAGGATGCTCCGGTGCTCACACTCATGAACAGCCCGCTCCCCTGGAGTGGAAGCTGGACCTAGTCACTCACTTCTAGTAGGACATGTAGGTGATGGGAGTCACTCCATTATAAAAACTGGCTTTCACTGCAGGCCCACTTGCTTGCCCACATCAGCTGCCCTACAGTGGGGCCCACGTGGCAGAGAACTGAGGGTGGCTCCTGACCAACAACCACACGCATGAGCTTGGTTAAGGGCCCCCCAGGCGAGCCTTCTGATGAGACCACCGCCTCCTGAGGCCCAGTGGAGGGCCCAGCTCAGCTGCGCCCGAGTTCCTGACCCACACAGGGAGGTAATGGTTGTGGACTTAAGCTGCTACAGTCGGGGGCTGTTTGCTATACAGCCATGGGAAACTATTACATGTCCCAAATGCCAGGGGCTGGTGGGACAGGCTGCACGACCCTCACTCCTCTCTGCTCCCCTCCCTGTTATTTTATGTTGATGTTCATACCACGGAGGTCATTTGTTTGCTTTTTCCTGTCACCACCTAGAACGTCAGTCACACAGGATCCGTTTATCACTGTCACTGGTCCCAGCAGTGCCAGGTGCTGGCACACAGGGGATGCTCCAGATAGTGCTGGCTGACTGAAGCAATGAGGGCGTCCTGCACTGACCAGGCACGGCCGGGGTGGGGCCACCGCTCCCAGGGAGCCCCGAGCTGCGCACACACCAGGACAGCCACCGTCAGTGTCTGCCGGCGGCCCCCCACCAGCGCCTCTCTCCGGAGACGGCCCTTTCTCTCCCTGCCTGGGCTCGGGTACAGGGCTGCAGAGGGCAGCCCCTGGGAGGTCCCCCCGATGCCGGCTGCCGGCTGGGGTCACCCCACTCCCATCTGCCTGGGCGTGGGGTCAAGGGCAGGCACAGCTGTGGGCTGCACGCTCCCCGTTCAGGATCACACAGAAACCAAAGAATAGCAAAGCCAGGAACGTACACGTTTGGTTTCCAGGGCCGAAAGGTGCCGGGTGGGGGGCTGGGTGTGCACGCCAAGGGGGAGGTGGGCCCTCCTCTGCGCCCCAGTGTCCCTGTGTGTGACCTGGCGCGGGAAAGGGCCCCCACGGGGCGCGCGGGCGGCTCCTCACCAGTTCTTGGCCAGCTCGCGGTACCGCGGGCCCAGGAACCTGCTTAGCATCTCCGCGTCGTCCACACCTCAGGGTGACCCCAGGCCCGCCCGCGACGCGCAGGCGCACAGAGACGCCCCACCTCGGGCAGGCGGGGCCGAAGGGCGAACAGGAGCCCGAGGCCGCTGCGCGCGCAGACCCGGAAGACACTGCCTCACTTCCGGGGCGGGGTGGAAGGCGTTACGGACGCAGGTGGTGATGGACGGGCCCGGGGGCGGGTCCGGGGGCGGGCCAGCTGCCGCGGGGATGCCGGCTCCGAATGGACTCAGGAGGTCCGAATGGTCCCCGGCCGCGTAGCCCCGCCACGTTCGGCTGGCGACTTTGTGTCCTGATTGCGTGCAGAGCTTGACGGGCCGTGAATGAAACAGGCCCAGCGCCGACGGGTGAGCCGGCGAGAGGAGCCGGGCCTCGCTGGCCCGCCGTCGGCGGGACTGGGCTGGTTGGCAGCGCCCCGAGCCTCCGTTGGCGGCCCCCGCGTTGCGTGTTGCCTTGAGGCTCCTTGGGAAGTGTCGCTGGAGAGCTGCGCGGTGCCTCCGGCGCTGCCCGTCAGCCCACCGCTTCCCGGGCCCACCCAGGCTCGCTGTCCGCAGTCACCGCCTCCGGGAGTCCAGGCCTGGAGGTAAGCGTCGGATGCCGGGGTTGGCCGGCCGGGGCACGGGTGCCCGCAGTAGTTTCAGAGATCGCAGTGAGCCCCAGCGGTGCTCATTGCGTCCGGGCTGGACATTGCCCCTTGGCCTTAACAAATGCCCTGGGTTTTGACCTTGGGATCCGATGAGCAGAGCTGGGCTGGAGACGTGGGGCTCCAGGGCCTGGATCCAGCAGTTCCTGAAGCCCTGCTCATCCCTGCTGCTGCTGCTGCTTAATGTGCCTCAGCTCACAAGGCAGAATGCTTTTTGAATGATAAAAAACAAAAACTGGCTTAAGAGAAAAGAAGGAAAATTCACGACGTGTTGGACGGCCTTGGGTGGCTGGATCCGTAAGTCTAGCGCTATCTTTACGCATCTCTCTCCATCACTCAGCTCCTCTTTCCTGGGTATCGGCCCCCCTCTGGCAAACTGAGTGGCAGCTCCTGGGAACTGTAGGCTGCTGACATTCCTTCCAGCAGCTCTTTCAGGAAGATGGCACCTGTTTCCCAGTAATTGCAGGAAGGGCTCTGCAACTGCTTCTTGTTCGTTAGTTATCTGTGGAAACGGGGGAGTCAGCCCCTCTCCTGAGAAGATGTGGACTGAAACTAGGGGATGAGAGGGTCCCCAAAAGAGAATAGCCAGGGTTGTGTGAGCAGAAGATGGTGGATAAACAACCGCTGAGCAACCTTGCACCCCACTGGCCCCTGAGGGGTTCCTGTCTGGCTCTGCAGAAACTGAAACTCCTTTTCCTGTTTTTTATTAATATAAACTTCACATAACATGTAGTTAACTATTTTAATGTGTGCAGTTCAGTGGCACCCATTCACAGAGATGTGCAATCACCCCCTCTAGCAAACTCTAGAACATTCCATCTCCCCAAAGAAGCCCCGTCCCCATCAGCAGTCACCCCCCACCCCTTCCCAGCCCTCGGCACCCACAGACCCACATTGTGGATGTGCCTGCTGGGGACGTGTCACAGAAATGGGGTCACACACTGTGTGTCCTTGGGTGTCTGGTGTCTCACTGGGCACTGTGTTCAGAGTCCCTCCATGGGTAGCATGTGGCAGGGCTTTGCTTTTCATGACTGTGTGATGCTGTGTGTGTGGATGGACATGTGTGTTTATCCAGTCACCCGTTGATGGATTCTTTTCTTCTTGGATTTTTACTTTACTGACGTATATTTGACATACAAACTTGCACATATTGAAAACACACAACTTGGTGTTAAGACGTGTGTGTACGCCCAGGAAGCCACCACAATTGTGCCCTAGAAGTTTCCCCTCCCACCACCACTCATCTGCTCTCTGCTGTCAGTTGGCCTCCTTTTCTGGACTCTTCCGTAAAGGGAAGGGTATGGCATGTCCGTGGCGCCGGGCATCTCCCACATAATTATTTAGAGTCCCCCAGGTGTTGGATCTGTCAGCGGTTTGTTCCTGCTGCTGGAGCGTGTCTGGGAGGGTGGACGGGCCTGTGTGCATCTGCTCACCTGTTGGAGGACATGTGTGCGTGTCGTGATTACAAGTGAGGCTGTAGCGAGCAGTTGTCCTGTCTTTGTGGGGACGTCTGGGGTGGACTGGCCGGCTCACAGGGGAAGCCTATGTCTCACTATAGGAGAAACTGCCAACCTCTTCCTTCAAATTGCAGTATAACTGACGTTTAATATCCTACTCATTCCAGGTTGTCACCCAGATGTCCACAGCACTGCACCTGTTTGCACTCTCCCCAGCGTGTGAGTTCCCATTGCACTGGGTATCTCATCATGTTAAAAAGGACACACGTGCCATTTGCCTCCCGTGGCTGCCGGAGCAGAGTACTGCACGCAGGGTGGCTTAGAACCACAGGAATTCATCTCCCAGTTCTGGGGCCGGAATTCCTGGGTCAGGTGAGCAGGGCTGTGCCCCCTCCGGGGGCTCTGGGAAAGGGTCTTTTCTGTCTCTCCAGCAGCTGGGGGCTCTGAGCGCCCCTGGGCTTGTGGCTGCATCCCCCCCATCTCTGCCTCCTCCGCTTACAGGCTCTTGAATTGAGTGTGGGCATCTCTTTCCGGGCCACAGTCAACCTGCTGCAGTGCAGCAGGTGTCTGAGGAGGACTGTCTGAGGGGTCTGTCCCTCCCCTCCCTGGCCCGTGGGTGACAGTCGGCTCTGGGGGGCTAGGCTCCGTGGGCTCCCCATCAGGCCTCGCCACATACAGCCTTAGGTGTGAGAGCCGGGTGCAGGCGTGCTCCAAGGGCACAGAGAAGCGCCCTTCAAAGGAACACATGCGACCCCCCCACTGCTGCCTCCAGGACGTGGACACGTCCATCGATGGCCCGTCTCCAAGTGCCATCCCGTGCCCACTGGATTTCTCCTAGCTGAGTCAAGCAGACGGTTTCCCAGAATCTCAGAGTGGCTTCTCCCATGAGCCACTCCCACTCCTGTGTCATGGGGGCTGGGGCCCTTACTCGGGAGGTTCCTGCCGTTCCCGCAGAGCCGTGGTTCTGGAGTGAGGAATCACAGTGGGTAGCTTTTCTAGGCAGTCTATGGCTTTGCTGGCCTCACTCGCTGCTGCCCTAAACCTGTTGAGGGATGGATTGTGTCCCCCAAAAAGGACACACATCCTAGCCCTGGCCTCCAGTCCCCGAGAACGGACCTTATTTGGAAATAGGGTCTCTGCAGCGGCCCTGGTGCAATGCCTGGTGTCTTCGCATGTGGGACCATCTCACAGGGAAACAGAGGTCCCTGCAGGGAGGTGCCCAGCACCCCCAGCAGCTGGAGCCTCGAGGGAGCGTGGTCCTGCCCTGGCTGACTTGGGACTTCTGGCCCCAACTGAGCATACATGGGGCTTCAGGCCACCCACCTGCCCCTTGTGTGGAACTGCCACACTTGCCCCAGGGAGACTTGCACACCCACCGTGAGCCCCATGCTCCCAGGCCTTCAACAAGCTGCCCCTGGTGGGGAGACACCAGGGGCCACCATTCCTCCATCAGTGGGCAGGGAGAGCTGGGGACAGCTGGCTCATCACACGTCATGCTGACAGCCACAGTGCTGTCGTACACAGAGCAGGCCTCTGAGACTTAAAAGAGGATCATTTGAAGTCCCAAAGAATCCAGCCAGCTGTGTTGACGCTTGTATAAAATTAAGTTTCCTTTTAAAAAGGTTCTCAAAAACCAGTAATCTTGAGGCACTCAGCACACTCTCCCAGGCTGGACTAACCTTGTCACGTGTGGGGCTCAAGTTACAAGTGTAACACACGGTTCAGCACCTGCAGGCCTGGGGGCACTTGGGCTCCGCGTCCCCTGCCCTTCAGACCTGGAGGGTAAGACCAGAAGCAGAGTAACGGGTAAACTGAGGCGGGCTCCCCGAGAGAGACAAGCCCCACAGACAGGGAGGTCGCTGGGGGCGCGACCAGGTGGTCCCAGGGCCTGCCCGATGCCCGGGGGTTCCCTCATGCTCCCTGAGTGCCCGGTTCCATGCAGCCAGGCTGGGGGCCCATAAGGCCTCTACATGTGGGCGGGGATTAAAAAGAAAACAAGCCCCTAGCCGGCCTGACCCCACACCTGAGTGACGGGGTGACCAGCAGTTCGTTTCCCTGGGCCTCCAGGTGAAACCTAGGATAGATCCGGGCAGCCCAGCTGAGCTGCACCCCCTGGCGACACGGGGGCCCCAGCCTGGAGGAGCAGCCAGTGTGGGCCTGGGGGTCCGTGGCAGTTCCTGCTGGGAGGGCGTCACCTCCCTGCGGTGTCCCCTCCCCCTCAGGCCGGCGTATCCTGGTAAGAGGATGGGGCTCTTCCTGCGGCCAGCCAAGCCAAGAAGACCCCCAACACGTGGAAAACAAACCCGGGACACTGCCCGCCCCCTTCTGTGCGGCCAACCGCGTGGGGCGGGGCATCGTCAGGGTTCCGTTGGTCTTTTAATACGACTTTTAATAATCTGGTCGATCATGAAATGCAACGCTCAGTTCTATAAACAGCAGCAGAAATAGCAAGAGACACGAGACTTTTATACAAAAAAATTTGTTGCTTACAAAACATATGCAAAAAAAGCTAAAAAACACAAACGAGAGACCAAAGGCATCTTCCTTGCTAGTTTCCTAATACATTAAAAAAAAATCTTGTAACTAATGTTCTTTTAATCTTCCTTAAGAAAAATATCAGGCATAGGCACGATTTGCTGGTGGCTTTCTCAACGACAAGCCAGTCCTGCAGAGCAGCTCCCTCCAGCGAATAATATGTTTTGACTTCCACATTTTATACTTAAGGCATTTTTTTCTCTTCTGACAAAGTGAATGTTTCTTGCTTGCTTTCCGGTTTTGTTTACAAAAAAAAAAATGCTCCTTTGGGCCCGGGTCGCAGGGCCGGATCCATCGGGCAAGTCACAGACCTCGAGGTGGCGCGACCTGGGGGTGGGGGCGCGAGGCCGGTGAGGGGAGAGCGGCCGGGGGCTCCTGGGGCCCCCCTGGGGCAGTGCGGGCTCCGCGCGTGCGAGGAGTGGCCCGGCCACCGGCGGGGGCGGCAGTGGGTGGGCGGCAGCCGAGGCGGCGTACCTTTCACATGTGCCCGGCAGGGTTGTGTGCCTCACTCAGGCCTGCGTGGGCAGCCGAGAGCACCATCTGGGGGTCTCCGACCACGCTCGACACCTTCTCCTCTTCCCGCCGCTTCAAGCAGGCCGCCTTGGGGTTCAGGTTACGCTCTGGGGGGGGAGAGCACTGTGGGAGAGGGTCCCCCTGACAGGGAGCCCGGGAGGCAGGGCGGGCGACGCCCCCACCTGCGGCCTCCGCTGCCCTGCCGAGATGTGCAGGGCTAGGGGTTGTGAAGCAGGTGTTCGGGGCGCCCTGGGGGCCTGCCGGATGGTCGGCCGGGCGCGTGGTCGGCGGGGCGCCTGGCCTGGGGGCCTACCTCGCACCTGCCGCTCCAGGCCCAGGATGACCTGCACGGCCTGCTGCAGGATGAGCAGTTTGGTCTGCGCCTTGTCCGACTTGAGGTGCAGCTGGCACATGCGCCCCAGCTCGCGGAAGGCCTCGTTAATGTCCCGCACGCGCACCCGCTCCCGCGCGTTATTGGCCATGCGCCTCTCCCGGTCCCTCAGGTCTTTCTCCTCCAGGGACAGCACCTCCTCCGTACTGCTGGGTCACAGCACCGGGGCCTCCATTAGTCACAGCGGCGCCGCACCTGCCGGCTGTGCACGCCCGGCCCCCATTCTAGGGAGGCTGGTGCCCACCTGTCCCAGGAGGCCTACGGGCATGGAGGTGGGCCTCAAGGGCCCTGTCTGGGAGGCCGCACAAGCCGGGACGTCCCCTACCCATTTCACTTGCCCAGAACTGACCAGGAGGGCGGGGAGCCCAGGCCCCCCTGGGACGACGACCTTCCCCGCCCAGAGCACAGTAGGCGCCCCCTGCGTGGCCGTCCAGCCAACAAGGCTGAGAGGATGCGCTGCCCAGGGAAAGCCTGGGCCCAGAGCCCAGGACCAGAGAGGCCCTCTCTGGGATCCTGGCCGGGGCGGGCAGCCCCCACATACTGAGCCCCAGGAGGCCAGGTCCCTCCCACGGCCCACAGCCCAGACCTGGCTCAGGCCCTGCCAGCTGCGTCCCCATGGTCCCTGCCCGTGTAGACTTACTCTCCAGGGGACAGCGCTAGTCGGCTAGGACTCCGCCAAGTGGGGCTGTGACCAACACACACCATGTGCGTGACGCCTGGCCACGGGGTGACTGAGACCCTGTCCTGCTCCTGTGGGGGTGCTGCCCACCCACCCTGCCCTCAGGCTGGAGCGGGTCCTGCGGGTGGCGGCGGCCCAGAGCCCAGGACAAGCGCGCAGACCAAACTGACAGCCAGGCCGGAGGCAGCCTCAGTCTCCTTCCCTCAAGTCCCGACTGGGGGATTTGGGGGAGGAGAGGCCCTGGGGTCGCGGCCTCACCGTTCTGGCGCAAGTGCGAGGTGAGGAGGGGGTGCCGTGGAAGCGGAGGGGACGGACGGGCCAAGGTGGGGAGCGCGAGAGGCAGAGAGCAGAGAGGCAGGCGTGGGGGACACCCACACTGCCGTGGAGACCGGAAACCTCAAGAGCTGAGGGAACAGTGGGCGGCAGTCAGGGCCCCAGCTCTGGGGCAGGGGTCAGCGCTGCAGGAGAGAAGGGGTTCCCAGCTGCACAGGGGAGAGGCTGGGAGGTGTTAGGGAAGCAGCTGGGGGTGCGGTCCTGGGAGCCTTCCCCGATCCACACTGCCCGAGAGGTGGGGATGAACCCCGCCTTTAGATGCGGCTGCGGGTCAAGTGGCCTCTGGAGGCGTCAGCTCAGAGCTTAAGTGACAAGCCCCTGGGCCCCTGCTGGGCCTGAGGTGTGGTTCTGAGCCCAAGTGTCCAGGTCTACTGGGCTAGGGGGTTGAGAACCTAGTCCTTCCACTCCAGAGGAGACCCTGGGGCCAAGCCAGGCGGAAGGCCAGGGGTCAAGAGGGGGAATGTCACTGCAGGGGGCTGGCTCCAGGAAAGAGGGAACAGTAGGTACAGTCACAGCAAGGGGGGGGGCAGTCACAGCGGGGGTGCAGGTTCCAGGAAAGGGGGGAGCTGTCAGAGGGGGTGGACAGTCGCAGCTGGGGTGTGGGTTCCAGAGAAGGGGGCAATGGTGTGGACAGTCACAGCAGGGAGTGTGGACAGTCGGATAGTCAGTGGGGGGCTGGTTCCAGGGAAGGGGGTGACAGTGAGACAGTGTGTGTGGGGGGGTGGGCAGTCACAGTGCAGACAGGTGCAGTCACAGCGGTGCGGACAGTCACAGTGGGGGGCTGGCCCCAGGACAGGGGTACGGTCAGCAGGGTACAGGCCCCAGGAAGGGGCACGGTCACAGTGGCGGGGCAGGCGCGGCGCCCCCACTGACCTCGCACCTGCTGCTCCAGGTTCAGGATGACCGACACGGCCTGGTGCAGGATGAGCAGTTTGGTCTGGGGCTTCTCACTGTTGAGGTGCAGCTGGCACATGCGCCCCAGCTCCTTAAAAGCCTCATTGATGTCTCGGACCCGCAGCCGCTCCCGCGCGTTATTGGCCACCCGGCGCTCCTTCTCCCGCTCAGCCTTCTGCTCTGGGGGGAGAAGGTCGTCCTCGTCCTCGTCCGGGCTACGGGCCGGGGCCAGAGGGAGACAGTGAGGCGGGGCCGGGCGGGGGCCCGCAGGCGGCCTCAGTGGGCGCGCGTCCTGGCCGCGGGGCGAGGGGGCTGGCACCTGGTCCGGGGCCGCGGGGGCTTCAGCTCCCTCTTCTCCTCCTCGGAGTTGTCGGCCACGGACGCGCTCTCCTCGTCCTCCTTGTCCTCCCGCTTGATCTCGCTGGCGCCCGCACGGCCGAGCCCTGCAACGGCCGGGGTTAGGGGGGCCCCAGGGCCCCTCGTCGGGGGGTGGGGGCTCGCCGGCGACAGCCAGGCCTTCTTTTCCAGAAGCAGCAGAAGCCCAAGAACCCACACGGAACCGGGTCCCCACCGCACACCACACACAGCCACTAATTTTATAGCCTCTACGGCCTCGGCAAGAATGTGGGGGAGAGGCCGCGGGGGCTCACAGGCAGGGAGCCACTCCCTGCAGCCTTGACGAGTCTGTCCTGGAACTGGTGGCCGCTTGCATAGGAACGAAGCGATTCTGATAACCAGGACACCACCAAGAAAAGGGGGTACCCCAGAACAGAAGACACGTGTCATGTACAAACCAACCGGCGAGTGGCCTCAGAACACCCAGATCGTTCCCCCGAATCCAGGCAAGTGGGTCAAGAGCTCGACAGGAAAACAGGGAAAACTGGCCACACGGAAACTGCCTCATTGCATGAAGAAATTAAGGAAAGGAACAGGCTGCACCGAGCTACGCTTCACACCCAGGACGCCGACCGGCTGGAGAGGCCCCAACTGAGAAGGCACGTACATGTGCCCAGTCACAGCCAGGGGACGCCTGCAAACACGCACCAGGACACACGTGCCCAGGGTGCACTCCAGAGCAGAGGGGGACCCTGAGGTTTCAGTCCCGTATCAAGGCCAGGCTGCTCCTCAGCCACTGGCAGTGTCAGGGGCCTCACACCCAATGCAGAACGTGCCACGACATGGATTTTTCAAAGTCCACAACCACTTTAATAAAACACGGTCTAATTTTACCCCACAGAGACGCAGTCACGGTGGCAGGCAGCCCAGGGCCACAACAGGGAGGAGGGGGCCAGCTGCCATGGGCCGGGTCTTTCTCTGGGGACCAAGGAGCCTCCCTGGCCACCCACTCGGTGCCAGGCGCTCCCCAGCCACGATGACCGCCGAGTCCGGATGTCACCCATGCCCCTGGTGTGGAGTGATGGCACTCCTAACACAGGAAGCACTGGCTCTAAGTGCAGGGATGCCCGTGGGCTGGGGCCGGGAGGGCCCCCAGGCCGGCAGGAGACAACCCGCCCTCACATGGGTCACCTGGAGGGGCCCCAGGGCTCAGGGTGTCAGCAACATTGTGTGCTAAGTGTGACAGTGTTGCTCACAGCACTGGCTGGAGCTGGGAGACCCCACACTCTGGGCCTCGGTCTCCCCCACTGCAGCAGGGCCAGTATCAGCCAGCTCAGGAGTGGACACGAGACCCAGGCCACGGCTCCTGCAGGCACCTGGGGCTGCCCCGCACCGTCCCGTCCTGCACAGGAGACACCCACCCCTGCTCACCAAGGGCTCCTCCCCACCAGGCCATGTCACTTGTGTTCTCAACGCCATCCCTGCCTCGGCCTTCCCTGGGGAGTCACCACCACAGGCCCCATCCCTGAGCCTGCCTGGGTCAATAGGCCCCCTCCCCCCTCCCATCCCGCCAGACTGCTGCATCCACATGTGCCTGGTGACCCCTCCAGGGTCCTGGCTCTGAGCTCTGCCACATGCCGATGGCGCCCGGGCCTCACCCTGCTCTCCAGAAGAATATCACCACCTTCCCACCTGCAGATCCCGGGGCTCTGCCTCCAGAACCCCTGCCATCCTCCCCACAGCTCCCTGGCCCAGTGCCCTGCCCTCTGCCCTCTGCCCTGGTCCATCCTCCAATCAGCAACCACCAGAGGGCGCCCTTGAGCACCAGGGTCAGGTCCCCCTCTGCCCGCAGCCCCCCACCCCCCGGGCTCCCACCTCCCTGGGTTCAGAGCCCAAGACCTCCCCGTGGACCAGGAGGCCCTGCGTGACCCCCTCCTCTCCTCCCCGCCGTTCCTCTCATCTCCCCCTCGAGCCACAGGGCGTCCTGACTACTCCCCCAGCACGCCAGGCCGGGCCTCGCTCACAGGTCAGTCCGCCCGGTCTGTCCCACCAGGGTGGCCCCAGGAGGGGCTTTCTGCTCGCTCCGTGCTCCCCAGAGCCCAGAGGCACAGACACACAGCTGGCGCAGAACCACATTCACCACACAGAACTGTTTGCACCGCGTGAGCTCCGTCAACTGAACAGCAGAGTGAGTGATGAAGAGATGGGGTCCCACCTCCCTTCTGGGAGATGGTAACTGGTCGTGTCAGCTGCTCAGGGCCTGTAGGGGACACTGTGCAGTAGCAGGACCACCCCCCAGGCCCTGGCATGCCCGTTTCCCCACTGGAGATGAGACGTCCCAGGCCTGCAAGCTGCTGTGGGGCCCAAGCCCCAGCCCTGTGCCTGGCAGACGGTGCACAGCCCTTCCTGGTGGTTCCTGGTCGTCTGAGAGCCCTGTCCGGGTTTCCCACAGGAGGAATGTGGCTGCGGGATGGGGAAGAGCGCAGAAGGAACCAGGACACAGGCGAGCCCGAAGCAACAGCCACCCTGCCGGGACCCAAGGCAGAGCTTACCGCCATAGGAGTCAGGCGGCCGAGAGACGTCAGGCAGGGCGCTGGGCTGGCTGGGGAGGGCCGCGTGGTTGTGCACGAGGCTGCCGCTGCCCGCGAGGCCATCCTCAGAGTGACTGCTTCCAACCTGTGGGCAGGCCAGTGGCTCATCAGGGCCAGACTGGCCCCCGCTGCCCACCCAGCCCATCTTTGCCCAGCACTCACCAGGCCAGCATGCCGCCCGCCCAGTGGCATGACAGGCCCGGCAAAGCCCGAGGCCAGCGCTCCGTGGCTGGGCAGCAGCCCGTGCACATCGGTCGCCGTGCCCACGGCGTGGCTGCGGAGCACATGGATGGCCTCATCCAGGTGGTCCTCCATCTTGTTCTGCTGGGGGGAGATGACACGAAGTGAGGGGCCTGGGCCTCTGGGTCCCTGCGCATCCCTGTGCCATGGCTGACCACGGGGCTGTGGTGACACTGGCTGCCCACCATGTTGCACCTTATTCCCAACAAATTAACTGCCAGGCTCATTCTTGTTGAAGGGGTCCCTGTCCTGTATACTGTTGGTCACGGCAGATCTAATGCTGGCACGGGACAGCGTCTAAGTCCCAGGACCTGTGACCCCGGCCGCCACCCCTGCCCAGGAACACATGTCCCGCGTCTGTCCACACGCACGCCCTTGCTCCCATGGGCGCACCCCCCACCTGCTGCAGAGGCTGGGGCCAGGCACTCACCAGGCCGTGGAGACCCCCGTCGTAGCTGGGCGATAAGGCACCAGGGGCTGCTGCTCGCGGCCACTGCGATGTCCCTGGGAGGGGCAGGGGGCACGTGAACAGGAGCATGGGCTCCAGGGAGGGAGGGTGGGCTGGAGAGGATGCAGGAAGGCTGGGTGGCGCCCGGGACTGCCACATGGGGGCGCCCCTGCCCACAGAGCCCTCTGATCTCAGCAGGACGGGCGGCAGGCTGCCTGAGGCCTCTGGGGTTCGGGCCCTGGCTCCAGTGCAGTGCCACACCAGGCTTGGGGGACCCAGCGGGCAGATTCACATTTCTGAACCTGTTGTCACACCTGCAAAATCCACACCTTTTCCTCCCAGAGAGAAGGGGGCTCAGCTGCACACAGTAGGTGCCCTTGAGGCCGGCTGCCCACCATCCCAGCAGCACTGGCTGCCGGAGCCCAAGCAGGGGAGGGATGGCCTGTGGGGTTTCTACTGCACCTGCCCAGGCCTTTCACAAACTGACTCACTTCACTCGGCCTTGGCTGATGCCAAGACGTCCTCAAGGGGCCAGGAGGCCCTGCCCGCCTTGGCAGAACCCAGCACAGGGCATACAGTTGGTGCCTAGCTAGTGTCCGTGGGTGGACAAATGCCAACACATGCATGTCCCCAACTGCAGTGGGAGCCCCGGGCCTGCTGCTCCAGCTCCCGGACCCAAGCCCTGGCCCCTGCTGGATGCCCTCTTCCCCCTGGGCTCACACAGCACGGATCGGCACGTCCTGCCTTCTGGCCTCTGCCTGTGCTGTGACCCGCCTGGAGGCCACCTCCTTCAGGGAGCCCTCCTGGATGCCCCCTGGGACTCAAGCCCTGAGGTGGGTGGTCCCACCAGCTCCCTGCCCACCAGGGGTTGCAGGCACCAGACACAGCTCCCCAGCCCGTGCACCCAGCACAGACCTGCCAGACCCTGTGGGGAGCCCACAGGGGTCGAGGGGCTGGATGAGAAGTTATTGCTTGAGTGATCTGGGGAGTAGATCTGTGACGAGGACAAAAAGACAGGGCCACCAGTCAGGGGCTGGCCTCTGGAGTGCCGCCCCACCAGCCCTGCACCCCATGTCCCCCGGGGCTCACCGAGGCCAGCGCCTTCCCAAGGGCATCTCCAGAGCTGCCGGCAGCAGTCCCACGGGGGCCTGCGGGGAGGGGGAGAGGGAGGGGAGGCTCAGCCCCGGGGGTGCAGCGCTGATGCCCCAGCCCGGGACTGGGCAGCCTGATTCTGGCCTGGTTTCCACCTGACATCTTGCCACCTGCCTCCACAGAGGCGCCAGAGGCAGGCAGGCTGCAGGACTGAGTGAGCAGGTATAAAGTGGGGACCCACGCCTCGGAGCCCCACATTTCCGCACATCAAGGGGCCAGAGACGGTGCACAGGTGGGCCCAGAGGGGGTGCTGCCGTCAGTCACACCGGCCCAGACCAGACCTCGAGCTCAGGGGCAGCACCAGGAGTGGGGTGCGGGGCCGTACCCATGAGGCCGTCAGCCCCGCTGACAGGGGGCGTGTGGCTGGAGACGCTGCCGTAGGAGGCTGGGGGTACCGAGGAAAAGGTGGACACCGCCGGGAGCACGCCGTTCACTTCAGCTCCATGCAGCTGGTAGCCCTGTGTGCACGGCGGGGCCAGGCTGAGTCAGCAGAACACTGCGCCCACGCCTCACCCCGCCCGCCCGCCCGCCCGCAGGCCTACCATGCGCTCGTGCTGGTGCAGACCGCCAAACCCAGGGCCCACGGCGCCGCCTGGTGGGAGGGACAGAGGCGACGAGCCACCCCCCAGCATGGGCCCAAAGCCCGCCTGGCCTGGAGGGCTCCAGAGCTCGGCCGAGGGGTGCAGGCTGCCGTCTGTGGAGAGGGGCTGGTGAGCTGGGCAAGCAGAGGAACCCCCGGCCCTACTCCAGGCGTCCCAGGTGAGCCCCACACCTGCCACGTAGAAGGGGGCGGGGTAGGCGCTGCTGGGGGTCTTGGCGGACGGGTAGGTGGCAGAGTCCCTGCTGAAATCGTCACCTGAGCTGGGTGGGTACACCTGTGGGGGGGGGGACAGGCCGCGTCGGGCAGGGGGCCTGGGCGGGAACGGCCGCCCCCGCCCCCCAGCTGCCTCTGTGAGGTCTTGCCCTCTGCCCGGACGGCCTCCCTTCCCCTCCCCTGCGTCCCCCTGCTGCTCTGCCCCCTCCCGCTAACACTGCTCTGCGGTCCCACGTCTGAGGCCCTGGCGATGGCGTCCCTTCTGCTTGCTGCCTCCTGCCCACGCCATGCTGGCCTCCTGCACGTGAGGTCTCTGTGGACCAGACCCGAGAGTCTTTGTCCTGCCTTAATTCAGCAAACTCCTACTGGCCCATCACAGCCCAGCAGCCACGCCTCCAGCCCTTCCCTGGTCCTCATCCCCATCCCCAGGGCCAACCACACACGACTGGGGGCTCAGAGGCAGGGCCCTGGGTCAACACAGCGTCCCGACTGCCCCAGAGGGACAGGGTGGCCAAGGGGCTCTCTGTCACACCAGCTCTGACCGGCTGGCACCGCCTGAGCTGAGACAGGCCTGGCAACAAAGTGCCGGGATTGGTGGGCAATGTCTGCCCTTGCCCCGGAGCAGAAAGCAGGGTGTGGGTGGCCGTGGACAAGGTGGGTTTAGGGGGCCTCAGGACACTGGTGGGGTTCGGACGAGAACGGGGCGTCTGACTCCCAGAGCCCAGCCTCAGAAGGACAGAGCTTAACTGCCTCCTGGCTGCCGGCCGCTGGCCTCCGAGACTGACCCTGAGTCTGGGGCCTGCCTGCAGGCCCGGGCCTCCCAGAGGCCAGCACAAGCCCAGCACAGGGTGGCAGTGCCTGGGCTGGGCAACCCAGCAGATTGCCTTTTCTTCCCAATGACTAAAATGCAGGGGGCACGAGCCTCTGGTGGTCTGACACCATCTCCTGGGTCTGGCGCCCATCAGCCACTAGGAAGAGCGCAGGGACACAGGCTTAACCAGGTGGACACAGGGACACAGGACACCTGGGCAGCCCTGGGCCCCAGGAAATCTCTCTTAGACCAGGAGGGACAAGAGCTAAGGAAGTGCCCCCTGGCTCCCTCGGAGGTGGTCTCTGGTCAGAGCTGCAGCCACAGGGCCCAGGCCCACGGGGGGGCGCTGGGAAGGAGGTGAGCGGCCTGGCCCCGTTCCGGCTGCACAGCACATGCAGCCCAGGGCCCTGGCTCGCTCGGAGCCTCTGGCGAGGAGGCCCCCACAACTCACCGAGGACGGGAGGCCTGGTGGCACCTTCCGGACCTTCTTTGGCTGCGGGTCTGTCAAGAGGGAAAGGAGTGAGTGACCTGGCCCGGCTCCCACCCACCAGCCAGGGACAGAAGGAGGCCCCCACCCTGCTCCTGGGGGAAGAGACCCCTGAACACCCCTATTAATTAAAGCACTTAAAAATCAACCTGGAGTCTGTCTGCTTGGGCTTGAAGATGAACACAAAACCCCAGGCAGGGGTGGGGTGGGAAGGGGGTTCTGTGGCATCGTCTGTGAGAGACAGGGTTTGAGCCAGGCCTCTGTGCCCACGTGACGTGAGGTTAGTGTTGGCCGGTCAGCGGAAATGTGCCCGAAGGCTTGTAGGACCCTAGCAAGTGTGTCCACCCGGAGCCCTGGTTCCACACTGGTAATTCTGTGTTCTCAGCGACTACAGGCCGGGACCTCTGTGCTGCGTTCCTGGCCCGCCCATGCCTCCAGGCAGCCTGCACCCCCAGTGTCCAGCCAGGATCAGGGGGAGCACACGGGGCCCGACCTCCCCTCCTGTCCCCCCACCCCACCTGCCCCCACTCACCAAGGCTGCTGTCCGCAGTTCTCCGCCGAGGGTGGCCGGGGTAGGAGTAATACTGGGAGCCCCCCTTGACGCCTGAGGGGGACAGTGGCCCAGGGCTGCTGAGGGCCAGCTCGCTGGGCAGGAAGCTAGCCTGGGGGAGTGGAGAGGATGGTCACCGTGAGGGGCAGGGCCAGCATTCTCCCAGGGCCCCCAGGCCAGTTCCAGTTAAAAAAAAACAGCACAAAGGCTGAGCCCATGAGGCCCTTCTGAGGGTGGCAGTGAGCTTCAGCAGGACCACCCTTGCTGACTGGCACCTGCCCTGGCGCTCTGCTCTAAGGCCTGCAGGCGGGCTGAGAGCCCAGGGGTCATCATTAAAGGAAAGCCACCGTGGAAGAGCCGCAGACGCCCCCGTTCCAGGGGCTGACTGTGCAATGCTGCATCCAGGTGCAGCGGAATCCAGCCGCTCTGCCTTCTATCATTTTGGGTCAAGACAAATGGCTTAACGCTGCACGTCAGTGGGACGTGGGCCTGCTGCCCACGGGAGCGCCAGCTCTGTGGCTCTGGGGAGCGGCTGTTCCACGTGGCGGCTTTCCCGCCTGTGAAATGGGCACGAGGGCCGTACCCCTGCCCACGGCTTTGTGGGGACGGATGAGGGTGGCGGGTTCCACCCTTGGCTCAGGATGATACCCAGCCGGCGTGCCTCCGTTCCAAGTGCTCCCACCCACCTCGGGTGCGAGGCAGGCAGGCGGTGCTAAGCAGCCAGGCCAGGCCAAGATTCAGGAGGCATGGGGAGGGACAGAGTGAAGCCCTCAGCGTGGCCAGGACAGGTGGCCGGGTGGGGCCCAACGGCCAGACCCCAGGGCCCCCCAGCTGCATGAGGCACCCCCAGGCTGGGCTGCGGGGGAGCTGGAGGCAGGCACACCAAGGCCTACTTTAGGTGCTGCTGGACAGGGCCAGCGTGTGACTCAGCCAGGGGACCTCCACAGGAAAGTGACCAGCTGTCTGCCCTCAGCCCAAGGCACGGGCCTCACCTGGGTCAGGCCAACGCCGGCGTCTCTCCCGAAGGCCGTGTACGTGCTCCGCTCGCCACCCTTGCCTGGAGGAGAGGAAGAGGGTCACTCGCCACCCAATGCCAGGCCCGCGCCTGCAGACGGTCAGGGCTCCGTAAGGCACAGTACTGGGAAAGCCACGGTAGGGCTGTCCCCTCGGCGGCCTGGATGGGCCAGACAATGTCCGGAGTGACCACCAGACACTGCGCAGACCCACTGGGGTTCCCCACATCCTGTCCCTGAGGTGCGGCAGCAGCAACTCGGCCCCCTGTCCTCGCTGAACCTGTTTCCTCTGCTTGAGGCCAGGAGGTGTCAGCTCCATAGGATACTGGGCTCTCGGGGTACAGGCACCTGCAAGGTTCCAAACCCAGGCCCTGGGTTCCTCAACTAGTGGTCAGCTCATGAAGGAGCACATGACATCCCCAGGGATGTTGGTTCAAGGGACCCAGGGACGAGAGGCCCTTCCCTTGCGTGGGCAGGCAGTGCCTCGGACTGTGGGAACACAGCCCGCCCAAGAGCCACTGGGGCGACAGACTCCGCTGCTGGGCAGAGGCCTGGATCCAGCCTCGCCTGAAGCAGAATCCTGGCATCAATCAATGCCTGAGCCCTTTGTGTCTATTTCTGCTGAGGCTGGTAGCCCTTCCCGACTGCAAGTCGCCTGCAAGTGGCCTCAATACAGCGTGGAACTGGACGCTTGGCTGACCAATGATGCCGCTGGAGGGGCACACTCCCCCCAGCATGCCAGGCGCCCCACAGGCTGAGCCCTCCAGCCTGACCTCCCACGACTCCACAGGGCAGGTGAGGCTGGGTCCACACAGCAATGAGCCAACCGGGCCTGGAGGCCGGAGGGGACTCACCTCCCACCCGGTGAGTGAACGGGGTAACACAAACACCTCCTCCCTCCCAGGGTCAAGCCGGGAAGCAAAGCGGGCCAGCTCCACCAGTGAAGCAGCCTCACCTCCCAGACCCTCGGCTCCCCCTGCAAGGCAGGGCCACCAAGGTTCAGGCCCTGCACACACGTGTCAAATAGGGGCTTCCTGAGAGCAAGGAGGGGTGCGAGGAGACCCAGGCCCTAGAGGGCACCTTGTGCGAGCCATGAGCCCTGCAGGCAGACAGCAGATGCTTGCCCCCTGCGCTGGGCCCGTGGCTCCCACCAGCCTTACTTTGTGGGTGAGAACGCCAAGGCCCAGCGGGGCCAAGGCCCAGGGTCCTGCCAACCCCATGCAGGGCTGGGATGCAGCTGGGGGTGGGAGCTGCCTGTGCCAGGAAGAGGCAAAGAAGGAAGAGCGGGTGGAACCCCCACGGCTGCAGGCACAGAGGCCACCCGGCAGGCACGGGCCCGGTCTGGGGTGGAGCAGACGCCCGCTGCACACACACGTGCTCGGAGGCCGCCCTCCCACCTCCCTGCTGCACACCCAGCCCCGGGCTGGCAGGTGGCAAGTGACTGTGGGCCAGGCGTGGCCATCCCAAAGGCCCCCAAGACAAAGCCTCAGCTGGCCCCTGACCAGCCACAGACCCGTGGGCAGGGCCCTTCTTGCTGAGCCTGTCTGCCTACCTGCAAGATGGGACCCCGTGGCCTGGTGGGCTGGGCAAGCCCTCAGTACCCGGACGCAGAAGGTTCCATGTGAACCCCAGCCCCAAGGCCTGCAAGGGGGGCGGCCCAGGTGCAGCCCCAGTGAGGCCCCCAAGCCCAGCCCGCCTGAGCCAGGTGCCCCAGGGTGGGCAGGCCTCAAAGGGTCCAGCCAGCTCTGCCCACCTCCCTGCTCTGGGCAGCCGCTCTGGTGTACCAGTTACTCCTCCAGGGCCGCCCTGTGAGGCGGGGGGTGGGGCTGTGCCACACAGCAGCTCACCTCCGAGCCCAGGTCCCAGGAATGTGGATGAAGAAAGGCTGCCATGAGACTCACTGAAGTGGGCGCCCTCGCCGTAGGTCTGCAGAGGGATGGGTGGGGATGAGGGGAAGGGCTCCGGAGGCAGCCAGCTCACCAACTCCTAAGTCTGGACTCAAACCCAGGTCTGAACCCAAACCCCCGCAAGACCCACTTTGAGCCTCAGTCTCCCCACCCTCTCCCAGGCCTCAGAGCTGCTCCTCACCCGGCCGGGGTCGAAGGGGGAGCTGTTCTGGTCGCCGCCGCCCCAGGAGCCCGAGCCTGGCCGGTCCTCAAGTCCTGCAGGGCAGAGGAGTCAGGGTCACACCCGGCCAGTCACCTTGGGGGAACCCTCCCAAGGCAGCGGGTTTTCCCACAGCCCCGTGGGCCTCACCCAACTCTACCTCTGCCTGTGCCAACACCCCCTTAAGTGGCAAGCGCCCTACAACCCAACACTCAGCATACCTCCAGGTCCGCAGCTCAGAATCAGTTCCACCAGCTACTGCTGATGGCAAACTCCTACTCACCCACCTCAGCCCCAGCCACCATGCCCGACCTGGGCAGAGCCCTCACCCACACTGAGCCTTCTCCCCAGAGCCCCAGGTCCCTCCCTCTGGTCCAGCCCTGACTGGCGGCTGGGGCACATCTGTGTCAGGCTCAGCCCCTCCTGGTGGCAAGGAAGGCTCCGGAGGGCATCGGCACGTGCGTGATGGTTGGTGAGGTCTGACCCTGCAGCCATCACTATGTTGTAACAGCACCAGTCCCTCAGGGTGGCGGGGACTGCCAGGAGCAAGTGGAGGCCTGGGCTGCAGCCCTGCAGGCGGGGCAGGGCCCTATCTCCCCGAACACGCTCCCAGCTAGGCCTCCCAGTCTGCCTGGCTGCCTGCCGGCCTGCCAAGCACACCCGGATCCCTCCTGGGCCCAGGGCTCTGACCCCACCCACAGGGACACAGCGCGGCCTGGACAGGCAGGCTGGCCCCAGGGCTGCTCTCCCCCGTGCCCGGTTCCCTCCCACATAAATGAAAGCAGAACCGGCCCTACTCTGAAGGACTGAAGTGCCCAAATCCAACCCTGAGTCAAGGCCCCACGCCTGCCCGGAGGTGCCCAGAGGGGATGTGCCCAGCCCTGCCCTCCGGGCTGGGCCCTGCTGCCTGGAGGTGGGGCACCCAGCCCAATCCTTCACCCCTATCCCAACCAGAAGTATCTTTCAAAGTCAGTCCTATTTCGGTGCCTTTGTGTTCATCATCCCCCTGGAGAATTGGTGTTTAATTGCTATCTAATTTGCATGATTGTGCATATTAATCCCTAAGCCTAATGAATATTCATGCATCTAATTTAGATTTTGTTTCCTAATCAAAAATTTCCAATGCGATTACGGTGGGGAGCTAGGAGGGCTGCCTTGGGGGGTGCGGGGCCAGGCAGGGGGGGCCCAGGGTCTCCGCACCCTCACGTGGACCCTGAACGGGCTAATGAGGCAAGAGCGACGCTGGGCAATGAGCAAGGACCCCGAGTCCCAGTTTCCCCCCAGTGTCTGCTTGCCTGTTGGCCCTGCTCCCTCTAAAGGCTCCCCTGCAGCCCCCACTGGGTACCCACAATGTACCCCCAGAGGCATCAGGGCCCTGAACTGCAGACGACTCCGATTTGGCGCCCAGAGCTGCCGAGACCAGCAGTGGTGAGGGGTCTCCACGCTGCCACCCACGTGGGCCCGAAGCTCTGGGCAGAGGCGGCGGGTCCTGCGCAGCCCTTCCCCTCCTAGAAGGGCAGAAGTAGGGCTGGTCCCTCCCCCACGCTGTTAATACAGTTATTAACCCACACGCCAATTAAGTATGCATTTTAATAACCTGCTCATGAATATTCATGGCACACTCATTGTTGGTGCTCTAATTAAAACGCACTACAAAAATAGGACGTTGCCTTTGGGGTGTAATTTTTTACGATTCCTTTTTCCTTAGTGTTGGAGGTGAGGTGCCCGTGGAATGGCGCCCAGATCTCTGCCGGGGCCGAGGGCACGGAAGCTGCAGGGCAGCACAGAGGCGCTCAGCAGCCCCGGTTCCCGGGCCAAGTCCCCGGCCCTGCCTGATGGAGGGGGCGGGGGTTCTGCAGCGGACACCGGGTGAGGCCGAGCGGCCAGGGTCCCGCTGGAGTCCTCTGGGGCAGCCGTGGCAACCTGCAGCCCACCCACCAGGTCCGGCCCCCCACCTGCTTCTGGAAATGACGTCTCATGGGCACCCGGCCACCCCCGCTTACCCCATGCTGCCCCCTGTGGCTCCCTGCCATGGCGGAGTGGCTAGGCTGCGGGCCTTCACGGCGGCCAGCTGACCCTGGCAGATGAGATTCCCAGAGCCGGTTCCAGTACAAGGATGCCTGACCCACAGACTTGCGTCCCAGGAGTCAGGTTCTGGTGTGGGACAGGCCGAATCCAGTAAGTCACCCAGCTGGGCCCACCACCGGCACCCCAAGCTGGCAGGTCCCATGCTGGACGGTCATCAGCCCAGCCTGGAAGCACCCCTCGCAGGGTGCCCAGGATAAAGCACCAGAATGGCCTCCCCACCAGCCCCCGGCCTCAGGGCAGAGCCCTGTCCCTGTCCCCACAGCAGTCCTCTTGGCTTCCCGCCCACAGCCCAGCCCACGTGGCCTCCGCCGAGTCCTCTGGGCAGCCAGACTCCCTGGTGTCCCTTTTTCCTCAGCCCTGAGCTGACCACACCCACACCCCGGCTGGGCGCTGCCCTGGTGGTCCCGCACCTGCCAGCTCTTGTGGCTTCAGGCAAGTTGCCCTGCCAGCCAACTCCCAGCCCAGGGCCCTCTCTGGGTCCCTGGCATGGCACTGGGTAGGCCCCTTCCAAACAGCCTCCACAACAGAGTTGACCCACGGCGCCATGAGTAACGGTCTCCTACGGGACTTCCCACCCCAGGACGATGCTCTCCACCTGCGTGGCTCCTGATGGCTTGACACGTGGCCAGCCTGACTAGCAGGACCCTGGACCGTGACTTCAGTTCACACAACTCGAGGGCGGGTGTGGCTCCCAGCTGCTACACTGACCGGTGCAGCTGGCAACAGTCGGTGCTGAAAACCACCTCCTGTGACTCCAGCTGGAAAACCAACCCCTCAGGGCGACTTCTCGGCGGATCCTTCTTCGGTTTACCTGGTGGCTGGGGGGGGCACCGGGCTCAGAGCACCCTCTCCTCTCCTTACAATGAAGGCCCCCCAGACACTGGACAGGGCCCACACTTCACACAGGAGTGAGGTCGACACAAGTTTCGATTTGGGGGGCAGCCTTCCCGCAGGGGGACTGTGGGCGCTCTTGCGCTTTCTGGAGGCAAGTTTTAAGAATCGTTATTTCAAGCCTGGGGGAAATGGACATGCGCAGAACCAGGCCCACCCGCTGTCTACCTTCTGTCCCTTCGCCCTCTCTGCAGAATGACTGGGAATGCCTTTTGGCCTGCAGAGTTTTAAGTTCTGATAACGATTTCCAGGACTGGCTGAGGCCTTGGCCACCCAGTGCTCCCCCCCACACCCTGTCCTGAAAGGGTCGGAAATGGGCAAGATGCTGAAGGAGCACCCGCCAGGGCCCCAGGCTCTGGCAAGTGGCCCCCAAATTGCGGGGCAGGAAAGCAGACGTCCCCCACCACTCAGAGCAAGCAGATCTGAGGCCCAAGAGGAAAGACTGGAGGCCACACCTCACCCTTCCTAAGAGGGGGGAGTCCCCCCCAAACCAGGGGTTTGCTCCAGGCTGCCTGGTCCCAACCCCCAAGTGGCCTCCACCCCGGGGTACTAACAAGGTGAGTGGAGCCGGCCCCCAGGTGGGGCCAGTAATCCACAGGGAAATGGGAACGCCCAGCTGCAGAAACTGCCTGCCCCCTCCCTCCCTCGAATTTCAGACTGAGGACCCAAGTGGTAACAGAAGGATCCCAGCATGTGTAAGGCCCAACGGGGGCCCACATGGGCTCCAAGTGTAGGGAGAGGAGAATCTACCCCCGTCTCCAAACAGGAGCCGAGCAGCCCAACTGGGACCTCTGCAAGGAACAGGCAGGGCAGAAACATGGGACACAGGCGGTGGGCCAGGCCCTGGCTCGGGACCTGCTCCGGCAAACAGTGCACACCCTCACCGGGCAACGAATGGAAGGGCCTGGGGCTTGTTCAGAACAAAAGAGGTTTTGGAGAAAAGGCGAAAGGAAGCAGAAAACACTAAGGAGAGAGGTCATGGGAGTCTTAAAGGCAGCGTGAGGGGCAGCAAGCAGGCCTGAGGGTGCAAGAAGCTGCCAGCAGGGGGTGGGAGGCAGGTTCTGGAAATGCTGCATGGGAGAGCGGGCATGGAGGGCTGCCAGGCACCTGCAGGCCCCAGAGCACAAGGCTCCCCAGCGGCCTGAAAACCACATGTGAAGTCGAGGGGGTGTAGGCAGAGGGCAGCCGGCCCTGGCGAGGGGAGCCCAGGGACGCAGAATCCTGCTCCTGAGGCACCGGCTCCAGGCATGCGTTGCTGTCTATACCCGTCCGTCCCTGCGCTACACAAGGAAGCTGCAGGCCGGGAGGGGGTCCACCCCGGGCCCCAGGGGCACGTGGGCCTAAAAGGTGCAGCCACACCAAGAAGGAAGAGCCCCCAGGCCAGGAGGGATATGCGCTGCGGTGGCTCGGTGGCTGGTAAGCCAGTTTTACATGTGAGGAAACTGAGGCCCAAAGATGCCAGTCGTTCGCCCAAGGCCTCACAACGAGGGGCACAGTCCACACAATCATGGCACACAGGCACGTGTGTTGTCTACATCCAATTCAAAGGGGAACCAAGGCTTTGAAAAGCTGCGATTTCCTTATACCTCACGGCAGGGAGACAGGGGAGCCCTCAGGCCCGTCCCCCCACCTCCCCGCAGCGGACTGAGAGGTGCGCCCCCTTCCGGGGCTGGGCAGTCAGCAACGGAGGTCTGGGTGTGTTACTCCAAACCAGGACGCCACCAGCAGTGCAGGGGCTTTGCAGCGGAGATGGGAAACAGCGCGGGAAAGGCAGGACTGCTGGGGGCGGCAGTCTGCAACGCAGCACGGACGCCAGGGTGTGCCCGGCTCGGCACTTGTTCCAGAAACCGGCAAATGGCTCTGGGACAGGAGACCAGGACCCGCCCCCCGGCGCCAAGATGCAGTAGGGGGTCGTGATGCTGCAGGGAACAGCAGAACGTGAGGGGCCTCCTCGGCTGGGGAGTGTGCACTTCCCTGACGGAGGGCTGCACCCGTAGTGGAGGGCTGCACCCGTAGGGGAGCCCCGCGGACGGGAGCCCGATGACCTCGGGCCCAAACAGAGGCTGGAGACCAACGG